TATTTTGACTTCATTTAATGGGTATGTAATGTAATTATTTTGTAAAATAATTAATTAATTATTAAATATAATTTATTTAAAATGTTTATGTAATTAATGTAATTTAAATAATGTAATTTAAATATTTTCAATGAAAATTAGTTAATTTTAATTTATTATAATAATAATAAATGTATATGTTTGAGGATATATATTTATTTTTTTTCTTGTTTTTTAAATCCATTTTAACCACATATTAAACCCTTTATTTGCCAGCCTATCTGTGTCGTTGGCCTTATGACGAGGAGTGCCTGTGGGTTATCCTAATCGTTCTGTCTTGGTCACTCTTGGTTGGGCCTGGTTGACTTTCCAGTCAGCTCCTACAATGTCACTTGGCCACCTCTAGATCTGTGTTTGCCGGTCTAGACGTAATCGATGCACTCCTTAAAGTGCCACATTGCAACGATCCCAGAGCGTTAACGAGATCTGATTCCTAAGTTGAGAGCTGTTCTTCCTGTAACGCTTCCGAATAACGAGGTCCTGGTCGAAAAGAGTTGAAAGATACGAAATTAGGTGGTCGTTGGAATCCTGATCGCAGTAAAGTGGTCCTTGGTAACATCAAGCATAGAGAATGTCTGGATCCATCAGTAGTCTCCTAATAAGGGAGGGCAGTGCGATTAATGGCTTCCATCGACTGGGTAGTGTTCGTCAAGTGGGTGGTGAAGAGCCAGTCGGGCATATATCATGACGGTATCTCCGGTCGCTTAATGCAGTTTGCTGCTTGGCTAGCCTAGGGAAATGTTAATAAAGGTAAAGTAAACTATATTTTTAATGACCTATGGGGCACAAAATAATTGGTGTTATGTAAATGTAATTCTGTATGCATATTAGACTCTTAATATAAATGGAGCCTAAAATAGTACAAAAATATATGGGTAGTATTTCACACTCAGTCCAGTATATATATACAAATGTACTTTTTAATTTCTTTCTCTCTCTCTCTCTCTTTCTCTCTCTTTCTTATTTAATCTATATAATCTGTGTAGACTAATATTTTCCTTAATGTTAAGATAGATTATTAGCATTTTGCTTAAAGCAATATGCTTTTTTTCATTTATTTCGTGCCCTGATATAGATAATTCAGTTTTGATAGAATACAAGTATGGCAATTGCCATGTTTGTAATTTATCTAACATCTTCTCTTTCAGTAGTCATAAGTTTCTTTTGTTTGTTTTTAAGTATTTTTGTATAGATAAGTATTAATTTCACTTCTTTGCATAACATAACTGGTCTTGTGTTAGGATCTCAAAGACTTCATGAGACAAGCTGGGGAAGTAACCTTTGCGGATGCACACAGACCTAAGTTAAATGAAGGGTAAGCCTCTAAAATTATCTCTTGAAAACTGTAGAGTAATATTTGTATGTATAATATTTGGGGAGGGAGGCTGGCTACCTGGAGTGCTCAGCAGCTGTTCATGGTTTAATTTAGCCGCCCTTTGAAAAGGCATTCTCTGGTATTTGGGGTGGGGGGTTCTTTGTGCTTGAGTTATGACAAGGAATGATCTGCACTGAGCAGTGTGAGGGTTTTTTGAGTTTTTTTTTTTTTTCCTCGTTCCACCCCCCACCCCCCCCGAGTATGTTTTGCTCTATCGTCAAAAATACAACTTGTAATAGGGAGCTCTGTGTTACGGTTTTTGTTTTGTTCTGTTTGTTTTTTTTTTTTTTCTGTAGGGTGGTTGAATTCGCCTCTTACAGTGATTTAAAGAATGCTATTGACAAGCTTTCTGGTAAAGAAATTAATGGAAGGAAAATCAAACTAATCGAAGGCAGCAAAAGGCACAGGTATGGATTTCTATTCTCTTAAATAATGCTCCACTAAGAAAGCTTTAAAGTCAGTGACCAGGCAGCCGAACTGGAGACCAGTGGATTGCCTGGTTATTAGTCCAGGAGCAGGTCACGGTCTCATAGCAGAAGCTCATCCAGGTCTCGTAGCCGTTCCCGTTCCCGCAGCCGCAAGTCTTACAGCAGGTCAAGGAGCGGGAGCCGTAGCAAGTCTCGATCAGTTAGTAGATCTCCAATGCCACAGAAAAGCCAGAAACGCGGTTCTTCCAGTAGATCTAAATCCCCGTCATCTGTGGATCGGCAGAGGTCTAGATCAAGGTCCAGATCTGTTGACAGTGGCAACTGAACTATGAGTAACTTGCCCTGGGGGCCCTTTTTTAAACCATACTTGCTAAAACTTGTGGTAAGTATGTGACTTTCTGTGGGGAAGGGTTTGGATGGGGAGGGGGGAGGGATGGGGGAACTTTGTAGATGTGGACCATGGTGGGAAGGGTTATTGACTAATTGTATTAAATGTTTTTTGATAACCCTTTTCTTGCTCACATTTTTTTGTGACTGTCTGAAGTGTATAGTTTGTGTATATTTCGTAGAGCTCTTTATAACTAAAGCCGACAAATTTTTTTCTACTCCAAAAAAGTCACCTGAACACTTAATTCCCAGTATATTGAACTGTGAATAGCAGTTCAGAACACTAGTTTAATATCACAAATTAAACTAATAGCTTTAGGCATCTAAGAGCTCTACATGTGCTGTACATAAAGCTTTATTTCAGAGGGTATTTTTTTGTGCTTTTGAACCGTTGTTTCAGTTATAGGTCAGCAGATTAAGTGCTGGTCAGTACTGGTAATAAAACTTTATTTTAAAAGCTTTTCATTTAATATGACTTGCACTACACCAAGAAAATGCCCATTTCACTGCCCTGTGGTAATAATATTCTATAAAGCACCCTAATTCTTGATACTTAAGAATTAAATAGCTAAAATAAAGTATAAAGAAACATATCTCTGCTTCTAGTGTGTTCTTACTGTTAATAAAGTGTTTGTGACTGCGCCTCATGTTATTGGACAGTGTTAAAGTGTTTCCTAAAGATGGGTCCACAGCAAAGCTATGGTTGAATGCTTTGGGTGTGGGGGAGTACTTGGTTCTTTTTAATTATGTCATGCTATGTCCTTGGACATCTGGATAATCTGAAATAAGAACCTGGATAATAAGGGGAATCATGCTGTCATAGCTCATAGCAGAAAGGGGAATGGACAAATCATGTAGGTTTTTATCACTGTTCGGATAATAAGCATGGATATAAAAGTTGGATGTAGTTGGCATACTTCATTAGTGTGTTTGTGCACGTGTGTGTGAGAGGACGTTGAGGTGTGGATAAAGCATTTTTATAGGCATAAGTCCTCATTCTGGAGAAAGAGGAGGAATTTTTAAGTTGGTGGGCAGGAGCACTGCAGCCTGCGTTTTCGTGTTTTGCCTTACAGGGGCAGCAACCCTCTGCAATCCCTGTGTTTCTCAAACCCTCATCCAGGTTGCAAGAGAGAGCTTTAGAATTTAATTTAAAAAATCATGTGTTTTTTCTTAAAGTGCTTTACAAAGCTGCTCCGGTAACGCCCCAAAACCTTTAAAAAGATCTCTGGAGCCTAGGCTGGGCTTTGGATGAGGGCCTGGGGAACACAAGGTGCTTCTGTCCAGAGCAAGGTCTGGCCTTGGGGGAGGTGAGTGGTTTGGTGTCTCTGCAGCATCTGCTGCCGTTTCTCCATACTGTTGCACGGTTCTCGTAAATGTGTTCCAAGCTAACGAACAAGAACGAGCTTTTGTGCCTTGGGAATCTGTCCGTTCAGGTGGCACTGCATCATACTGGGAGCAGGCAGTGAGAGGTGGTGGGATTGATAGGCAGTTAATTGGATTATTACTAGTCAGCTTTGGGGAGTGGGAGGCTTCCTTCTCAGAGGTCTGTAGTTCAGACGCTGGATCACCTTCAGAGGGGTGGGGGAAGGCGCTAACCTCTAGGGGTAAAGGCAGCGTTGACGCTCCTCAGGGTGTAAGGTGAGCTGTGTTATCTCAAGTCAGTTGATCCCACTTACCTGAATGATTATGGTGTCTGTGTTCGAGTGGGACTTGTCTCCAAGAGGAACCCGGGTGGCTGAAGGCTTCCGATGATTGGAAAGGGGTGGGAGTTCAGACACTTCCCTCCCTCAGGCTGAATATGCAGTACCACCTCCTCTATAAATCACTGCTCTGAATTCTGTTTCTAAACCACACCACTTGCCTTGCAAGCGGCGTGACTAGATTTCTGCATTGTATTAGGGGAGCTGGCTGGTGTGACCACAAGTGTTCAGTTTAAAACAAACTCCCAGGCACTGCACCCTGCAGGGTTACATTGACCTCTGGCCAGAAATGATTCTGCGCTTACGAAGCTGAGGTTCTCGGTACGAGCCTGTTTATTCTTAGTTGAGATGGAATACTTCAGGTTACAATGCATATTTAGCCCATGGGAGGTGGTGATGCCAATCTTCCCCTGTACTCATATTTGTAGCGTGACAGGAGCTGGATGGTGCCCTGAAGGGGTGGTGCATTTTGTTCACTGACTCCTACAAAGCCGGGCACATTGAAGGCTCACGTGTTTTCAGAGGTACAGCTTGGTGGACCCAAACTTGATGTGCTGAGGCAGTTTGCATAGCCGTGCTCTGTTTTTGTGGCACCTGCTGCGTGGAGAGCAGCGGTGCACCACACGCTGCAGGGGTTTTGGAGAGCCGGAGGGACCGGCAGCCTGTGGGCTGTTCCACTGCACGCTGGGTCTTGGTGGCTCCCGCACTGAGAAGCGTTCACACCTCATTTTTGGGTCTGTGTTAAGAGAAACAACATTAATCTTCAGCGTTGTCTTTGAGAGCTGCTTTCAGTGTGTGCCAGCGGGACAGTTACAGGTGAGTGAAATTAAAATACAGGAACTGATGCGGGCAGCGATTTGCTTATGTGCAAAAGTGGGGACCGTTGCTTGCGAGGGTGGCCCTAAGCTGTCCCAAAGGGTTGTCATGATGGCTTGGTAGTCCCTGTAAGTCTCCCTCATGGGTGGGCAGGGGAGAGGCTTAGTCTGGAGCAAGGTCTTTGGGAAATAAGGGTGAGGGTGGGGGCAGCTCCGTGGGGATCCCTTTGTCTTAGCCTAAAATTGAGGATACAAACTAAAGTCTCACACGGAACCGCTGGGGACCTGTAAGGCGGCTGCAGAAGGTGGAGCTCGGAGGGGTTGTGATAGTGGCTGCTGCGGAATCTGTCTGCATTGCATTGCTGGTTTCCCGCTGTTCCTGCAGGGTCTTGATGCTGATTTCATTTCTTGAGCGGTAACGGTGTCCACAGCTGCGCAGGTCAGTTTTCCCGCAGCTGAAGAAAAAGAAAAACGTACTGAGAACAGGCAGTTCTGAACCCGGGTTGTGGAAATACTGTGACACGGCTACAATCGGCCTTGCTGGGCCACTTAAAGCAAAAGGAAGGAAATTGGAAGTCCTGTAAAAATATTTAAGCCGTTTTGTTTCCAGTCATTTGTGAACGGAAACAAGCGTTTGTGGCCGGGAAAGCCACCCTTTCTATGGTAGCTTTGCAAACACCTGTATGGCTGTTCCCAGTATCAACTGCTTTGCACTGCAGGCACAGCTGGGGGTCCAAATTGAGGGGGTTCCCCCCCCCCCCAAAAACTGTCATCCTTCAGCTATAGCAATAAGATAGGGTAAAGTGCTCCTGCAGCAGCTGCTTCTCTGTCCCAAGGGACTGGAGAAAGTTGGTGTGGAAGCATCAGAGGGATGAGTGGTGGAGGATCTCATTCAGCAGTGCGTTCTCCAGCCATCTTTGCAGATGCCTGGCTGAGCTTCGGCATTGTGGACCTGTTGAAGTTGAAGAGTCTACTTTGCATCTATACCACTACTGTATGTATATTTTAATTAAGCTTGAATCTATTTATGTGCTTGTCTAGCAAAAGATCCACGTTTCCTTCCTTCAGCTGCAGTACTTGGTAGTTCTGTCCTCCCCCCCGCCCCTCCAAAGTGACACTCTGGTGAACCACAACAGTTTACAGTGAAGCTGGAATTTGTTGCATTAAAGAATATCTGACGTTCTCCTGTAGTTTTGGGGGGGGGAGGGCGGTATGTCTGACTGTTCTTTGCCATGTCCTCCGTGCAAATCACAGCTTTTGCGGGACACCCATCCTAGTTTAGGCACGGGACTCTGAAAACCTCCGAGCACTGCTAATACAGATAGTATAAAACACTGTGCTGATGCAAGAAGTCATAATTTCTAATGTGTTCAGTTACCTATGAATTTTTGACTGTGACTTGTATTTAATGCATTTGGTATGGTAACCGAGTTAAAGGGCGATCCGATTCTGCCCCGAGAAAGCAGAAATTCATTGGTAATTATATGTAAACATATGTGTTTTAGGTTGGAAGGGGTAGGACATGCAGGAGCAAAGCTGCACTTGCCGTCTGGTTTCTTAATTCTGTCATGGATCCTAAAGACCAGGATGAGGAGAAGTCCTTCTCCAAGCTGGAAAAGCAAGTAGAGCAGTGGGAAGAAGTACAAGGGGCCAATGATTTCTGGGGCGAAGGCGACCTTGAGGATAGTCGAGCAAAGCTGTACGTTCTGGCAGCCAGTTTCCACGCACACCGTCCGCCTGCACCTGAAGGGGGAAAAGTTAAACAGGTGACAGATTTAATCCGCTTTTTAAACAATTTAAAAAGAAGCTGGCCCACCTTGCTGTAGCAATGCTTCTTGCATTTGCCTGTGCTAAAAGCTGATTTATGAGGAGCAAATATTGGTGTCCATCCCTAGAAGGTTTTGCCTCGTGTTCCCTTTGCAACATGCAGAGATGGATCGCGCTATAAATGTGGACTTTGTGCTTAGTGGTGTTTGGAGACCTTGTGTGCTGCTCTGTGCGCTGCACCTCCCCGCAGGGAAGGAATCTGCTTCCAAGGTGAAAAGAGGAGTCCAAGGTGCGACGGTAAAAAATAGCGAGGATTAGTGGGCTTCCTACCTAGAGTAGATAGGATGAGAAAGGGAAGGAGTGGGTTTTACAGGCAAGGTTTCCATCCTGAATTCCTGGGGTTTTGGCTGAATGCACGGACTAGTTTGGGATAGTTATGAGCTGAGGAACAGTTGTGTCACTTGGGGTTTGGTCTCTGTTCATATTCCCTAATTCTTTGTTGTTCTTTGGTGCTATTCCTTCTCTTCTTCTACCAGCTTCGTTAATGAGGGCAGAGGCTGGTAATGTATGCTTAGCAGGTCACTAGTGACCTCAGGTCAAACCCATCCATCTGCTTGTTCAGTGAACCTGCATAATGGCATGGGGGTTGGAACTAAGTGATCTTCTAGGTCCCTTCCAATCTAAACCATTCTGTGGTAATGGACCTCCACCCCTTCTGTAGACATCAGGTACCTGTATCAAAATCTACTCCGTCTGCTCCTCCCCTCTCCGTTGAGCCGAGCAGAGGTTGAACTCATTTCTCTTCCCAGTCAAGGTGTGGGAGTCCTGACTTGGGAGCAGCTTGCAGTGGGTCTGCTCGTACTCCTGCGGCCCATCTTGGGAGACTGCAATCAGTGGTTATTTTACAAAAGTACATCTGTGTTGAGACCCATGTTTTCACCATGACTCCATAGAGCTGTCATACCTCTCTGTTCTTCTGGTGATAGAGAGTGAGGGGAGGGGGGAGCAGAGGAACATACCGGTCATTAAGCTTGAAGACTGCAGAGAGAACATAGCCCAACAGGAATCCAATGAAAGGCATCAAGGCAGAAGATCCCAGGAGGGATGGTGAGAAGACCACCGTGATACCGTTTCCCACACTGGCCACAGACAGAACGATTATTGCAGCAGATGACAGTAGAAGTACAACCATCCCTGCCTAAAACAAAAGTGGACAAGACGTGGACACGAGAGAAACCCCCAGCAAAATTTGCCTTCACTGTTGGAAGCAGCTGTGCCCAGTTCCCTGTCCACCACATATCTAAGTATATAATGAGAATGCATAAGAGCTTTTCATGGACATAAATGTTACAAGTAATCAACAAGAGACCATCTGAGGTATTTTCTACAGACACCTTAAACAACCAGGTACCTTTCTGGTCTATATGCAAAATGACTTGTGCTTGTTCCACCAGCCACTTGTTTCTCAGATATTGGTATGTGTCTCTCTGTCCAGGTCCCTTTGTGGGTCTGGTCCACTCCAAACAGGTGGGGAGGAAACCACTGTACTGACAGGCAGATCCTGCCTACAGCAGGCCTGGAAGGTGGTGGCTGCATTTTCAGATTGTCTCTTTGGTATCTGGTGATGCAGCAGATGAAGCAGCTAGAGATCTTTGGGAGGCTGAACACACAGCTTTCCCACCTGTCTCTCCACTTTGGAGCCCAATTTGGATGGAGGTCCCCAGGTGTTTTTTAAAAGCAAGTCTCCACCTCGTCCTCTTTCGTAGAGAAGATAAATGGAAAAGTGGTGTTAGCAGAAAGGAACACAACCCAAGGGTCATCTGGGCTGGTGTAGGTCACCTACTCATGCTACGTTTTTAAAGCTTCTTCTGAAACAGTCCAGTCATTACTGCCCTGTGCTGGGTAAAGGAAACTTTGAAGAGCTCTGGTCCTTCTGCATCTGGTCTAGCCTGACTCCTGGGTTCCCATGCTTCTTAGAGGTTAGCGATTCCTAATGTCATTTTATCAGGTCTGTTATTGAGTCTTAGTACCCAGTTCTTGGTCCCAGTTTCTCTGAGATGAAGCCTTAGGGAAAAAAAAAAGGGAAAGAAACTATGAAAAACTGGGTTACAAAGTTGTTAACATCTGTCTGGTTACTGCTAGTAGAGCTCTTAGGATAAACAATGGTGTAGTTGGTTGTCCGGATTTCCCTTTTGCTGTTTAAATGCCTGATGTACAAAGGAGGCAGGGAGATGATTCCAGGCATAAGCAGGTGCTTAGTGATCTAGTGACTTCCGCCGGATAGACATCTCGTTGATGTAAGCGGCAACTTTGTGATGTGATTTTTGCCCTGTGCTAGACCTCAGAGAACAGTGGGGTGGGGGTTTTTTGTTTGTTTTTGTTTTGAAGTTGTGAGTTTGGGGTTTAGTGTTGTGTTTTGTTGTGTTTTTGTTTTCTAAATCTGGGGTCTGCTTTAGTTACAGCAGTAGTTGGGGGCAGTGCCTATGAGACTCATTAGTGCTGCTCCTAGCAAAAGAAAATGAAGCTAAAACTGAAGCCAACAAAGAAAAGCAGGGTAGGAAGTTGCCTACACAATGTCGTTTGTCTGGAAAAGGTGGAGGACTTCTCTTTGGGCAAATATGTTAATGATTAAAGTGGTGAAGTGGATGTCTTGAGTTCCATCCTCAACCCTTTCATTGATTTGTAGCACACCTTAAAGAAGTTAATATTTCTGGGCCTCTATTTTTGAAAACTTCCTTGAGGCCCTTGGTTGAAAGGCAGCTAGCACACAATATTTCTTACCTTGATGATAAAGCCAGTGTACTGTGGTTTCTTCTCATTCAAGATGATACCGGTGGCACAGGGGATTAGCATTAGGACCAGGGACGTGATGATTCCTTTGTAAGGTACCTTGCCCTCCAAATCCCCCTCGTATAGTCCTTGTGAGTAAAGGTACAGCAGCAGAGGCATTAGTCCAATTGCGAGGACCGTTGAGCATGTGGTCATTACGATGCTGAGGTGAAGAAAGGATCCTTCAGTAGAAGAATGATGCTTCTTGTATGGAATACATTCATTTTTCTTACTAATCTGGACACATGGCTTTAATATAAGACTTTAGCATGCTCTTTCCCAACCTGTCACTGAGGCTTCCCCATCGCTATCAGGTTGTATAAGGATGTGGTATGAACAGAGAGGCGGGAAGATTACTCAAGTTCTATACAAGCTCAGAAAAACCCCTCGTTACGGGTACAGCTCACACTTCAGAAATTCACAACTGACAGAGAAAGTAATACTTGATATATTCCCCCCGGATCTTGTTTTATCACCAGGCTTTGTTGGTTTGTGGGGTTCTGCTAGTTAAATGTTTCTCACTGATGCAGCCTCTCCAGAACTATATGCTGTTATATGGATAGGTATAGCGTATATATGCTATAGGTACTGCTGTGTGGAGACGAAAAACCGTTCCTGCACTCACCTCATGAAGAGCAGCATGCCATACGCTTCAGAGAAAGGTACAAAATCCCATTTGATTGTAAAACTGGGACAAATCGATTCATTGAGCAATACGGGTGCTATAAAAATATTCTAGATTTAGTGTTTCAGTCTTTGTCCAGCTTCTTGGGGATTGCTAACTGTTGATTAAGCTAGCTGCTGACCCAGTCATACCACTAGATTGGCCTGGGCAGTGAACACGCACTCAGCTTGCCTTACCTGAGGTTCACATCCCCTCTCAGTGCCAGGCTGAAGATGTTGGAGAGATTTCCCCCTGGGCAGCAGCCACAGACGAGGATGGCCAGGGATTCTGTAGCGCCCAGCTGGAAGAGTTTGCCCAACACGAATGCTGTCAAGGGCATGACGCCGTACTGAGCCATTACAGCAATTGCCACGCCTTTGGGTTTCCTGAGGTGAGTTGTGATCTTGGCTATCTCCATCGTACACCCCAGAGATACCATGATGACGAAGAGGACCACAATAAGGACCGCGCTCAGGGCTTTGTCCGTGGCCTGTTGGCCGAATGCAAATGGTGGCGCCACACTGGTCAAGGAGGTGCTCTGCGTGTGACCTGGGCTCCAAAGCTCCGGGTTCTCAGAGGCCCCCATGGTCTCGTTCAGCCTGCTGAAGAGTTTAGTGGTCCCTTCTTCTGTAAGTAGCTGGGAAGGTGAGGAAGAAATTGACTCAGAAATACAAATAACATCCAATTAATGAAAGGAAAACATGAGCTCTTTTTCAGGCCACCTCTCTTATCATTTAGCAGTTGTTGAAAGAGAAATCCATGCTTTGAGCAACCAGCTGTGAACCCCGTTCCCTTCAGTAATGCATTGTGCAGTTTGGTGTAGCTTCTGCTCTGGTCCCCCAGCTCTTCCAGCATCTGCTCTCACCATGAGAATGCGGGCATAGCTGGGGAGAGTGAGAGGGAGGCTTGTTCAAAACTGGTGAGGATGGACACTTCATACAAGGGAAAATGAACCAGAAGAACTCTCGTCCACAAGACACTGCCAAGGTCAACACTTAAAAACATGATGCACCCACAGTATTTTATTTTTAACAAGGGTTATAAAATGTTTATGCTGCTGGCCATAAATCAATCTCTCGATAGGAGGGCTAGGAAGAAACTTTCTCCATGGATGAGAAGTTTCTCTAGCAAACTCTTAGGGGCCTTCATGTCTCTTTTCCTGCAAAATATTGTTCCCTTCTTGGTGTTGAGAGGAGGATTTGCATGGCAGGAGCCTCAACCGACCTCTGCAGTGCAAAGCCGTGCTTGCTGGAGCGCAGCACTGTTGCTTCCAGGACCTGAGGTACCCTGCACCATCATCCAGCCAGTGGTGTAGGCATCACCTGAGCTCTCCAAGCCAAGGCAAATAGGTAGCTCTTACCCAGCCTGGACTGGTGCCTGCCCAGTGCTTTCAGCACAAGCACGCAGAGCTCTAGTGTGCAGGGAAAGGGGAGCTGGGCGGCTGGTGCTCGGGTGGGAAGGGGGACTGGAGAGGTGGCTGGCAAGGATTGTTTCTCCAGCTGCTGCAGAGGCGATATCTGTCCATCCCCCTGCTGCTCCTTGTGCCCTGGCTCTACAGGGGACACGCTTCTCCCGCATCTGCCATGCTGGGGAACAGCACATTGCCTGACCCGTACCAAGGTGCCACGCTCCCTGATCCATCTGCAGGTTTTGTCTTCGCTTATGGAGCAAATCGATCTGAGCCAACCCCTAGGTCAGGCATAGGATGCCAGAAACGTGCAGAGCTGAACACATTCAACTATAGCAAAGCGAATGCCCCTTACCTCACATGCCTATAGGAGACTTCGGTGAGGTTACTTGCTGCTCCATCCCTTCCTTGCCAAGCTTGGTCCTTCAGTCTTCTGCTTCAAGAAAATCTTTCCCGCTTGGAAAAATCTTGTTCTCTGCTTGCAGAATATAGAGCCTTTTAGAAAGGGGAGTTATTATATGGTGGTTGTGCTTACAGGACTGCTGTCTTTTTCTCTCTGGTGGGGGATTTTAACCAGGGAGGTTTGCTGCAATATGGCCAGGCTCTAATCCCTTTGCTGAAGGGTATTATAAGGCTGCAGTAACGTGTCCATCGCCCCTATTCATCTGGGAGCTCAGCGGGCTCAGCCTCTCCAGCCCCATTGCTCTGGAAACACTGCTGGCGGCAAGCCGGAATGT